CTTCCATGTGATTTTTTTTTTTTTTCTGCCCTTCAGTAAATGTATCCATCACTGAAAGTACACCTGTGTGGACTTAGAGCGAGCAATTTTATTTCTAGGAACTGATCCTAGAGAAGAAATGATATATGTGTAAAGCCATGCATTACAACACAGTTAGTAATTGGGCCACAGGAGGCCGGAACCACCCTAAGTGCCCATTACTAGGGGACTTGCTTAATTAATTGCGCACGTCTGTACATCAGAATTCTATGCAGCCAGGAAAAAGGATAGGGCAGCTCTAGATGCTTATAGGAGTGATCTCTAAGATGTACTAGAACATGAAAAGGAGGTACAAACGTCTGCTACTACTTGTAAGGGGAGAAAAAAAAAAGTACGTGTAGCATATTTTTAATCGCCTCTAGGAAGGGACGCTGATAGCTGGGAGGAAGTTTATTTTTCACCGTAGAATCTTTTTGTACCTTTTAATTTTTATTTATTGTAAATGATAAAGGGAAAGAAGGAATGATCCTCGCAGTTAAGTGGGGTCGGGAGTCAAATCCCAGCTTTGCCATCAGCTATCTGGGCTCCTTCACCTCTCCGTGCCTCAGTTTCCACCTCTACAAAATGGGGATAAATATAATGTGTGTGAATGGGCGTGCAGCAGGGGGGCCAGGCCTAGGTAAGCCCCTCCACCACCCCCAGGCCTGGCCTCAGTCTCCCCATCTAGGAAATGCAGTGGGGACAATCTGGCCAAGCGGCCCCTTTTGCTAAGGTTTCCCTGGGCAATCTTCAGCCCCTCTATTTCTCTGGTGCCTGAGGTGCAGGGTTAGGGATCGGGGGTCAAGTACCTGTGCCGGGGGCTGACATGAGGCCGGAGCCTCACCCTGCAGACGCCGTCGGTGCAGTCTTTCCCCACGAGGCTGTGGGGGTGGACTCGGTGAGGCCAATCCTTCCACACCAGGCAGGCGGTCACCTCCACCTCCCGAAGCCCTCCACAATCCCGGAGCTGCAGGGAGACAGGTGCGCTTTTGGGGTCCCATCGCAGACACCTGCACTCATCCAAACTCCCTGGGGCCTCCTCTGGTAGCTCCCCAACCCTCTCCCCCCATAGGATGACGGAAGGGCGTTTGCTTAAGACCCCTCTGGGATCCTGAGCCAGAGGCTTCCGACTGGTGACCTGGGGGCCTCATCACATGATAGCTGCCCTCCAGATGTGCCTTCTTTGGCCACTGTGAGTTTTAGAAACTTGGATGCACACAGGGTCTCCAAGTATGGCCCACAGAGAACTTACTAATGACCAGAGGAAAAAAGCACCTTCGCAGGGGAAACGTCACTGGGCGCCGTGTAAATCAGGTGGCCAAGGTCAACATCACCAATACTGGGCCAAAATGACTTGGGCACCCTGACGGGGTACACTGGGAAGGCACAACATCGCTGCTGTGACAGCTTTCCAGAAGCACGTCACCTGAATCTCACCGTGATTCCTCAAACGAGCCCAAATGGTGGTGCATCAGGTCAAAAAAAAAAAATCAGTGTTGTGAAAGAATAAAAAGATGGGCATCGCATTTGGGTGATAATCGAACAAATAACATATACGGACCTGGCTGGCAATTACACAGTGGTGTATGTATGTGAAAATGCATAGAGCTGCACACACAAGAGTCGATCAACTGCAACTTGATTGGAAAAAAAAAAAAACAAAAAGGAGAGAGGGGCGTCTGGGTGGCTCAGTAGGTTGAGCGTCTTGAGTCTCGATTTCGGCTCAGGTCCTGAAACCAGGGTCGTGGGATGGAGCCCTGTGCCGGGCTCCGTGCTGAGCGTGGAGCCTGCTTGAGATTCTCTCTCTCTCTCTCTCTCTCTCTCTCTCTCTCTGCCCCTCTCCCCTGCTCACGCTCTCTCTCTCAAATTAAAAAAAAAAAAAGAGAGAGACAGAGAGACCAGAGAGACATGACACGCAAATGCAATCTATAACATATGATCCTTAACTGGATCCTGGATGCAGGAGGAAGAAACGATGATAAAACACATCTTGGGGACAAGCGGGAGACATAATACATTGGACGATATAATGGGATATTGTTAATTTTCCCAGGGAAGCTAATGATATTGTTAATGTCGCCATGCGGGAGTTTACTCTATTTGCAGGAGGTGCCGGCTGAAGTATCCCGAGGTGAAGTAACTTAATATCTACAATGTGCACGCACATAGTTTAGCACAAACAGTGTGTGTGTTTGCGTGTATGGAGAAGAGTGGCAGATACAGGGAATGTGGCCCAATGTCAACTGGCGAATACAAGTTAAGGGCACACAGGTGCTCACTGGACTATTCTTTCCATTTTCCTGTAATTAAAAAATGTTTCAGGGGCACCTGGGTGGCTCAGTCGTTAAGCGTCCAACTTCAGCTCAGGTCATGATCTCACAGCTTGTGGGTTCGAGCCCCGCGTCAGGCTCTGTGCTGACAGCTCAGAGCCTGGAGCCTGCTCCTGATTCTGTGTCTCCCTCTCGCTCTCTGCCCCAACCCCCACTCACGCTCTGTCTCTGTCTCTCTCTCAAAAATAAACATTAAACAATTGTTTTAACAAGTTTCATCCAAACTCATCAAAATGTATGCATTAAATATGCACAACTCTGCATATATAAATTACACCTCAATAAAAACTTTTTTCAGCTACAAAAAAAGACTAAAATAATTTTTGTTCCAATTTGGGGAAACCGAAAATTCGGTGCCTGCGTTTCAAAAGCGTGAAACATCATGCTCTTCCAGATTTCCAGATTCCCTTTAAAGAAAATGGACGTTAAGGCAACTGGGGCCGGAATTCCTGTTCAGCAGCCACATGGCAGGGAGGAAGTTTATTTTTCACCGTAGAATCTAGCAGATAGAAACCAGCTCTTCAGATGTCGCCCAGACCCACCTGGTTTTCCTGAGTCACCCGTAGGGCCCTGCCGACATCAAAGACCCTGTAAAGCCTGCTCTGAACTTCTTAAAAAAATTTTTTTTTATTAACTTTTTTTTAAATGTTTATTTTTGAGAAAGAGAGAGCAAGGCAGGGGCAGGAGAGAGGGAGACACAGAATCCATAGCAGGCTCCAGGCTCTGAGCGGTCAGCACAGAGCCCGACGCGGGGCTCGAACTCACGGACCGCGAGATCGTGACCTGAGCCGAAGTCGGAGGGTCAACTGACTCAGCCACCCAGACCCCCCTGAGCTCTGAACTTCTAAAGCCCTTCCCTATAAAAGACCAGGAAAGAATGTGTCTCTGTGGGGGAGTACTGCCCTCTAGGGGGTGTTTGGGATATTGGGAGGTGATATGGGTTGACTGGGTAATGGGGACCCATGGCAGGCGGTAGCCAGAGCCAGACGTGCTCCACCGCCTGCAAAACCAGGGACAGTCCAACACAAGTCCTGCAAGATTTTGATCATCCGGCCAACATTCACATCGGTGACAAACCTGTTTGAAATAATCACAGCCAGAATCTAGCTGTTTTGCATATACAGTCCTTTTTCCCATAACTTAAAAATACGCTGGGGCGCCTGGGTGGCGCAGTTGGTTAAGCGTCCGACTTCAGCCAGGTCACGATCTCACGGTCCGTGAGTTCGAGCCCCGCGTCAGGCTCTGGGCTGATGGCTCGGAGCCTGGAGCCTGTTTCCGATTCTGTGTCTCCCTCTCTCTCTGCCCCTCCCCCGTTCATGCTCTGTCTCTCTCTGTCCCAAAAATAAATAAACGTTGAAAAAAAAAATTAAAAAAAAAAATACGCTGAATTTTGGGGGCGCCTGGGTGGCTTAACTGATTGAACGTCTGACTTCAGCTCAGGTCATGATCTCGTGGTTCGTGAGTTCGAGCCCCGCGTCGGGCTCTGTGCTGACAGCTCAGAGCTCAGAGCCTGGAGCCTGCTTGGGATTCTGTGTCTCCCCCCTCTCTGCCCTTCCCCCGCCTGCGCTCAGTCTCTCTCTCTCTCTTTCTCAAAAATAAACACACTTTAAAAAAAAATTACACTGGGGCGCCTGGGTGGCTCAGTCGGTTGGGCGTCCGACTTCAGCTCAGGTCACGATCTCATGGTCCGTGAGTTCGAGCCCCGCGTCGGGCTCTGGGCTGATGGCTCAGAGCCTGGAGCCTGCTTCCGGTTCTGTGTCTCCCTCTCTCTCTCTGCCCCTCCCCCGTTCATGCTCTGTCTCTCTCTGTCTCGAAAATAAAATAAAAATGGGGAAAAAAATTAAAAAAAAATTATACTGAATTTTCAAGGACCGCGGCCACCATGTTAACCGAGGGAAGACCGGATTTTGTTTAGACTAAGGGTTGTTTGCCACTTTGGAAGATCCCATCACCAGCTGCAACCCTGGCCAAATGGCGTTTAATTCGCTAACTCCACCTGACTGGGTCAGGCTGCCGATGGGGCTACTGCATTAGTGAGGTCTCAAGCGACTGCCATCTTCATTAGGATTCCTGGGGCTGTGCCTGAACATTTACATATTGAAATGAAGGTGCTTATTATGCTGTTTATTTTCCTTTTATTTCTCCTTCATATTAAAGTTACGGCATTATGGATTTGGGGGGTGATTATGAGTAGAGAGACGTAATATTGTATATAAATTTCACTGAGTCAGATGGGGCTAAAGCTATTCATTTAACCAGCTCCCCGCCATAATATTAGGAGATCCAGAAAACCTCAGAGTCAACAGTCTGGGGATTCAGGAGAACTGCAGGGCTGGAAACTTCTAAGATGTCACACGAGGCCTTGGAATAAATCAGACCTGGTACCAAATCCAGGCTCCGTCGCTGGCCATCTGCATGATAAACCTGTCTATTCTGCCTTTATCTACAAAATGGATATTAGTAAGCACCTCGCACACAGGAGTGCTTAGTAATTACTACCGTCAACTTGCTGTGTGCCCCCGAGCAAGTAACTTCCCCTCTCTGAGCCTCAGTTTCCTCCTCCAAAAGATAGGACTAAAAATCCTGAGTCCAGATTCGGAGCCAGGTAGTCCCCTGTTGTTGGGTTTTTACTGTTCTAACTCTTTGAAAATCAAAACCAACACCAACTCAGAAAAACTGCCTGGAAAGACCTAGAAAGAAAGTGTTGGGGAAAACACAGCGTCCAAGCATCACCCCACAGGTAAGTTACTAATTACAAAGGAAGGCTGTACCTTTACAGCGAAATGGGCTGCTGGTCCCTAGCTGGTATGGGCCGAGGGCATCCCCCTGCGACTCATATGTTGAAGCCCTAACCCTCAGTGCCTCAGGATGTGACTGTATCTGGGGACAAGAGTCTTTCAAGAGGTGATTAAGTTAATGAGGCCGCTAGGATGCGTTCTGATCCAATCTGCCCAATGTCCTTACAAGAAGAGGTGATTTAGGGGTGCCTGGGTGGCTCAGTCGGTTGAGCGTCCGACTTCAGCTCAGGTCACGATCTCGCGGTCCGTGAGTTCGAGCCCCGCGTGGGGCTCTGGGCTGATGGCTCAGAGCCTGGAGCCTGTTTCAGATTCTGTGTCTCCCTCTCTCTCTGCCCCTCCCCCGTTCATGCTCTGTCTCTCTCTGTCTCAAAAATAAATAAACGTTTAAAAAAAAAAAAAAGAAGAAGAGGTGATTTAGGGGCACCTGGGTGGCTCACTCAGTTAAGCTTCTAACTCTTGATTTCGGCTCAGCTCATGATCTCATGGTACATGAGTTCCAGCCCCGTGTCAGGCTCTGTGCTGAAGCGCGGAACCTGCTTGGGATTCTCTCTCTCCTTCTCTCTCTGCCCC